TTCAATCCGTTGCTCCTCAGCAACTAATGTGTTTTCTGTTGGTCCAAATTTGCTTCTTTCGTTCTTTATAGTTATTTGCCATGCAAACGCTTTGTCCACCCAGTACTTTTGTAATTTAATTTGACCATATTGTTTTACTTTCTGTTTTACTAGTTTGGCGTAGATGGTTTTCGCTTCGGTTTTGTTAGTAGGGTTTCATTTACGTTAAGCTGATTCTTGAAGAAAGCAGTTTGTTCGTGGAGTGGATTTAGTGTTTTACTATTTATAGGAAAGGGCCATTTTTTAGGTATGCATCCAATCCGATTGTTGTAGTTTTTAGAGATCTTGATATGTCCAGCCTATCAACATCTGATTTCGGATGGTGCAGCCTCATTTTGGTAAGATTCTTTTTGGGTTTAGCGTCAAAGTTTTTAATCACATTCAACTGCCATTTAATGATTTTGAAGCTTTATGTTACCACTAGTATAGCTACGTTGTTGATAGTCTTAATTTAACTGTTCCTATGAAGTTCACTTTCTAGTATAAAATGCACTCTCCGATACTATTGTTTTCGGATCTTTTTCTTCATAATTGAATGTTGTATTCCGTCTTCTTCATTTATAGCTTATTTGTATGTACCATCTTAGTCTAGTTCCTTAATCTTTTGTTCCTATCAAGATCTAAATCTGTAATTTTCTTTACTCTTCCGCCTTTGAAAGTGGCTTTGGCACATTTGTCGACTCCGAATTCCATCCCAATGTCTCCGTACAAAGTTTTGACACTAGTGAGTAGGTTTTTCTGCTGGTTGTCATAATTGGCAAAGGTTTTAAAATTATAAATATAGAATAAGTGATTCAGTGTTCAATTCTGTGACATTTATACGTAGCTACTGTTTTTCAGTAGGCAGCTGAGTGGCGCTAATGCAAGGCATAAAAGTAGTGGTGATAATGAATCTACTTGGAAGATTCCGCTTTTGATGTTGATTGGTTTCGATGTTAATAACCCGTTTGTATGGTTTAGGTTTAGTGTAGTCTTCCAGATTTTTCATGTTCTCCGCTATGAATTTGACCGTTGCGGGGCATCATCTGTATATTTTAATCTCTGACCCTTGTTATATAAATTGTTTTCTCAATGAAGTTGTATATCCTCTGGGTTATGATAGAAGTGAGGATCTTGTACATTATTGGTAAGCAGATGATGAGCCTATAGATCTTCGGTTTCTGCGTCTCTTTGTTTTGGGGAGTAGGTATGTTACTCCCCACATGAGCTATTTGAGACATTGTTCTGGGTTTATAATTATACCATTGTATGCCCGCGTGAGATCTTGGTGGGCACATGATAGTTTTTGCTTCTTTTTTTTAATGGAAAAATTGACCAATCGGTCTATTTCTGGTTTTGCAGATGGCAGCGGTTGTTTCAGCAATACTGATATCTGTCCATTTTAGGCACTTTATATATCTGTATTGTTCCTGTTGCTGCTTGATCCATTTGGCTCTTTCATTGTGCATTTTGCAGTTTTCTCACATCTTACACCAGAACTCCTCCACTTCTTGGATATTAGGTGGGCCATTTATCTCTATTTTATTTTTCGCAGTTTTCGATATAGTTTCTTGGCATCTTCGTGATTTCCCCAGGAGAATCTGTTCCTTTTTTCCTAACGCCTGTTTTTTCTGTGCCTTCGCTTGAGTATGTTAGTTTCAGCTTCTCTTTAACTTTTGGTACGTCAGTTTTATTTTTTTATGTCAAGACTTCGATTCAGTTTTCTCCTTTTTGTTTCTTTTATATTGGAGCACTTGTCTACATCATTCGTAGTTATCCATTTCGGTTACTATTTTCTTTTCTTTCCAGGCTGGCATTTTTTTTTTGTTTGCATTGTGTTTTGATTTCTTCACCTATTGTTTCAGGGTTCGTTGCTGATCTCGTGTATATACGATAATTAATTTCTATTAGGTTCATCGGTCTGTTCATTTCGTCCCTTATTTTTTTGTAATTGTTGATCTTTCTTTGAAATACATTTCATTTACTTTCTCCTACTTGTATCGGATGTTTTTTTTCATATCTTTTTCTCCCTCATATTCATCATTTTCTTCCTCTATTTGATTTTTACACCTCATAGGGATTATTAAAACTGGTTTCTATTTGTTCACCTGCATGTGTCTCCTCTGGGTCGTTGGCATTTAGCCCCTCGATGTTAATGTTTAATCTAGCTTTGATATTTCCTTGACGCTTTCGGGTTTTACGCCATGTATTCTTTTTCTCTTGATGTTGTCAGGCTTGACATTGGCTAGTTCGATGGCATTAATGTTTAGCCTGTTTGAGGGATATTTTTTTTTTCTCGCCAGATATTATAGGCGGCTTTATTCAAGGTTGTCGTTGCCAGATGTAGCATTATCTTGCTTATTTTTTAAGGCTTGTGTTACCAGGAAGAACTTCAGTGAGTCTTTCGGGACCTTTTCCAATCAATCCAAGAGCTACAGATACCCCTGGAATTCTTGATGTGCTCATGTGTCACATTTCTGAGATATCAATTTCAAGATCCTTGTATTTTGAGAGTTTTTTTGAAGTTATTATTATTATTATTAATAATAATAATATTATTTCATTATTCCTATCCCTAGACACACGTCGCATTTTTGTAAAACAGTGGATGTACGGGTAGCATAAAATTTATAGGTGTCGAAAATGGAATCAGTGAAATATTTTCTAATTCCGGTCTAGTATGTTACTTTCACCTACATCCGAATACCCTCAGGAAAGTTGTGAATTCATCTTATCTTCCTGCAGCTGCCAGTTTATAGCAGAATAGCCAGTATTGTAAAATGACTTCATATCCATGAAGAAGCGGGAAATCGTTCAAATATATTTCATAAAGTGTCAAGGCAAATGAGAGGAAATAATTATAGATATATACATATCGTCATAATCGCATGCATCCTCAGGTGACACATTATTTAAAAATAAAACGATTGGAGGTTTTATTGGAGATCATATGACAATACATATCCTCACTAAAGAAATGGACTTACGAATATATCTGGTTGAAACAGCGGGTCTCGTACGACGTGCGTGTAGTGTAATGGATAATGCCTCGGATTTGGAAATCGAAGAGCCGAGTTCCAATTCCAGTCGGGTTAGATATCCACTTACGTGCAAATACCATTGTTAAAGGTATTAAAGTACCTCTTCCCTAGAACTATGGGTTAATTAGTAGTACTTGTATCAGTAAATCATAACCCCCGCCCAGCAATCTAAAAATATTTTTTGGTCTAAATGACCGTTGAAAGGTTGATAAACTGTAAAAAATCAAATAAGTCAATCAACCATTACTCGAACACTGCTAGTAACATTTTAACGTATTCCAGTATCGATGTTGTCCATATAGATTTAACTCTTCAAATATCTAGATTCTTCTTTGCTAGACACTTTAAGTCTCTTCCTAAAAGAGATGATGTTGAGGATTATTGACAAATATTATTATTATTATTTGATTGTTATTATAATTTTTCTAAATATAATTATTTTTTTTATCAACGTTGCAGTTTTTATTTATATAAGAAAGTAATCACTCAAAGTAGCTACGTGCGTTAATTAGACAGAAATTATACCAGATCAAGAAATCCGGGCCAAGCAAGACGTCTTTACTATTTGACGTTCAACAAGCAAAAACTCTGAGCAGCAAACAATATCATTCTCCTTAACCAATCAGATTCTGTATTAGCCGACGACCATTTTAATTCGTTCTTTAACTTCCTTTACTACTCGGTTCACCTTTGTCATTATCGTTTGTTTTTCACGTTCATCCTGCAGCAGTCGCCATTGTCTAATTTTGTATATATATATTTTTGCTATCTCATTTCTTTTTTAATGAGCGTTTTATTTTCATTTTTTTTTTTTAATTTTTGGAAAAGTTTTGTTGCTATAGAACTTTTTCTCATCGATTATGTCTTCAGTAATAAATGAATTTTTAGGCAGAAAGGCACCAGAAAGAGAGAGTGGGAGAGAAACGAGAGATGGGGAGAGGGAGAGAGAGAAAAGGAGAGAGAGAGACTACAAGCAATAAATGGATAAAACTAGAGGGGAAATAGATTTATACAAGCTTTATTGCTGTGTTTTTTATAACAATATAGATTCATATTGGTGCAAGAGTTGGTCTGTAGGTTCAGAGGAATAGATTAGTTTCATTCGCAGGAGACATTCAAAGTTCTACAATAGAATTACCAAAACAGAAAACGTGTAAACGACAAAATAAGGAAATAATAGCCAAAACAATGACGATGAGGATAATGGCGGTGATTGGAGTGAAGATGATGTTTTTTGGTTATGAAGACGTTGAGGATGGAAAATCTGTTCAGGTGACTTGGTCTAGAGGAGGAAGTAGCATGATGAAAAATTTAACTGGGAAAACAACGATGAATAAAAACAGAGCAGACAGTAAAAAGAATCAAGTGTGCGAATACTGAAGTAGAAGAAGAAGAAGGAAGAGGAGGAGAGGGAAGAAGAAGAAGAAGAAGAAGAAGAAGAAGAAGAAGAAGAAGAAGAAGAAGAAGAAGACAATTTTAAAAGTAAAGAAAGATGAAAAGAGGAAGATGATGGGGGGAGAAAAAAGACCAGCATAAAGAAGAAGAAGAAGAAGAAGAAGAAGAAGAAGAAGAAAAAGAAGAAGAAGAAGAAGAAGATGATGAAGAAGAAGGAAGAAGAAGATGAAGAATGTGCAGACGACAATTTTAAAAGTAAAAAAAGAGGAAAAGCGGAAGATGATGTAGGAGAAAAAAGACCAGCATAAAGAAGAAGAAGAAGAAGAAGAAGAAGAAGAAGAAGAAGAAGAAAAAGAAGAAGAAGAAGAAGAAGACAATTTAAAAGTAAAGAAAGTTGAAAAGAGGAAGATGATGGGGGAGAAAAAAGACCCGCATAAAAAAGAAGAAGAAGAAGAAGAAGAAGAAGAAGAAGAAGAAGAAGAAGAAGAAGAAGAAGAAGAAGAAGTGGTAGTAGTTAGGGGAGGACAAAGAAAGTGAAAACAAAGG